AGTAAGGAGAAAGCGGCTTGGAACAGCTTTGTCACAGTGGTTCGTGGCTTCCTGGCAATCACATGGTCGAAAACTATATGGAGCTGGTTGAGACTCTGGTGAAGAACTACGGCACAATGGGCTGCAGGATGTCCGTCAAGGTCCAAATCCTTGATGCTCATCTTGATTAATTCAAGGATAACATGGGAGCGTACTCGGAGGAGCAGTGCGAGCGCTTCAACCAGGATATAATGGACTTTGAACGCTGCTACCAAAGACAGCATAACGAGAACATGATGGGAGACTACATTTGGGAGCTGATTCGTTTAATCGTAAATCTCGAAAAACTACTCACTTCTAAATCTTTGTAGTAAAATCTTTCATTACTTTGGTATAAATATATGTAAATTTTGATTCATAAGTAGTTTTTTCTGACTTTATGTGAACGAAAAGACACAAATTCGCCCGTTTTTAACATTGAAAATAGATACATTTCAAAATATCACTGCCCTGGTCACAAAAGCAAAGTTTGTGGGGAATGATAGCCATTTTCTATACTTTTTAGGCAAAAGTAATTATGGTGGTAATGGTGATGATGGTGGTGATGATACGAGCCTTAAGGATGCAACAGTAAGAAGAGCCAGATCATAATATCATAATACACCCCCTGAGCTGGCACGCAGTAAGTCGTGGGTTCGATCCCGTGACCCTGACGATACCTGCTGTGTATTTGGTGTTTGCGGTGTCTCTCTCCCTCTCCCCGTGGTGAGATGTTAACTACCTTGCTTGGTATACAGGAGGTCGTGGGTCCGATCCCGTGACCCTGACGATACCTGCTGCTGTATATTCTGCGTTTCTCCCCACCGTCGTGTGGATTTTTTCCCTGGGTCCTCCGGGTTTTTCCCTCCACGTTTCGAATCAACGTCACACGTCCAGATTTATTTCACTTATTTTTGGCTACTGCTATAAATGAACCTTATGGCGGGACCCCAGGGTTCCGAAAAAACGGAAGTCAAAATCGTCATTAGTTCATTTATTTTTGGCGACTCCGTCCCACCGCGCAAATAAACGCCGCGACCCACCTGGTGCGGATCATTCTGTTGTCATGTCGTCCAAGCGTTAATCAAAGTTTACAACAAAACCTGGAAACTTTGATTAGCGCATCGTGTAGAGCTCACTGAGAGGAATAGATTGCCTTCAACAGACATAAAATGACGTCGCAAGGCAGTTTATGCGAGAGCCGGGGGCTTATGGGACTCCTGGGTCCCGCCATAAGGTTCAAATGTTCAAAATGATGGGGGAAACTTTCGTTGAGCGGCTGTCATTTGTGGTGGGCAGGTCGCTTCTGAACAATAAGCTAATAACCTCAGTGGGCTTTGCCTGGTAAGATGGGGATGGTTTCGTGTTGTATTTGTATGAGTCTGTTTTCTTTTTTTACCTGTCTTGTACTTTGCACCACTATCTTGTTCGTGTTGTACTCTGTTGCTGTAACGTTCTTACCCCGTGGCCCCTGACTGGACATCTGTGAGCAAAAGAGCTTTACAGCTCCTCGGATTCCTCCTGCTGCAGTATAAAGACAGTCAGGAATGACGTAACATCCATCACGGGTTACGTAAGGCAGCGGTCCCCAACCTTTTTGTTATTATTACACACTTGTATTTAACTCACTCTGTCTGTTGTTGTTGTCGTATCCTCAAATCTTGTAACTCAATTTTAACACACTTCCCAATGTGGTATCGACTGCAAACTTCGTATAGTTATGTCATACTGATGACAATACTATATTCTATCATTAAAACGAAAAAATATATTTTTAAACCATGTTTTTTATATATTATGTTTCGGCTTAGGTCTAATTGTCCACGCTCAACTAACGTTGGCTGTAAATCACCACGGTCCCTTACATTATGGCAAGCTTCGGGTCCACTCCCTGGAGTCGTGGAGTTCTTCCATTACTAGTACGGTACATTTCATTAAAGCGTGTTTAAAAAATAAGAATTTTTAAATATTTCTTATTGGCACCGGTTTCGTGGAAGACAATTTTTCACGGACCATTGGGTCTTCCCGCTTTCAAAGAAGCTCTCCAGCGACGTTTGTTTTTTACTCATTTTGGCTAGGGTTAGCTTGTGGGCTTACCAAAACTGTGACTGAGACAAGTGCACAGTGTGGGAAAGAGGCACGGACGTAAGTGGTAAATAAAACAATGGGCGGGCCACGCGCGGACTAAAATAAGTAGTCGGATTCTGACTTCTCATAAGGAGCGCGCAACCTATATCCCTCGCATGCGCAGTTTACAGTAGGGTTCGCACTCCTATGAGAATCCAATGCCGCTGCTGGTCTGACAGGAGGCGGAGCTCAGACGGTAATGCGAGCGATGGGGAGCGGCTGTAAATACAGATGATGAAGCTTCGCTCGCTCGCCCACCGCTCACCTCCTGCTGTGCAGCCCGGTTCCTAACAGGGCACGGACCGGTACCGGTCCGCGACCAGTACCGGTCCGCGGCCTGGGGGTTGGGGACCCCTGACGTAAGGCGCTTCGGACAGCACCTTCGGGAACAGGGGCGGGACCAAGCTGGGGGGAGGAGCCGCCAAATGGGTTCTTAAGGGGGACTCCGTGATGGAGGAGAGGTCGTCGTGGGGAGCCAGGGTAAGGACCGGCCGGATTGAGTGTCTCTCTCCTCATCGCGGAGCGGTGTTGGCTGAACCCCCACTCCGGGCAGACGAGTGAGAGAGCCAAGTGATAGCCGAGGGTAGGGTCCAAATAGTATAAGTGTCCGGGGAAGGACCAAGATAGAGTGCACCTAAATTGGTAAGAGTGTAGGATGTCGAGTGTGAGAATGGTTTAATAAACGGCAACAGCCCTTATAGTATTCCTCGTCCAACATGGGACCTTTCTTGCCAGTATCAAAATACAATAAAATGTTTTGCCCTTTTGGCAATAAAACAGGAGTTGTGTTAAAATGTTAAAACGCCAAACAGAAACCTTTTGCAAGGAATCAACAACTTGCTGCGTTAACCACGCAAGGTGCTTGTGGTGACCACGATGTAGCTGCTCACCCCAAGCTATAATTGTCCCGATCGTGCATTGTCCTTGTCCTGTTCACCTTTTGCCATTGTCCTCTGGTCTAACGCTGTTTGAGACTAGGCTCTAAAGACTTTTGACTTTTAAACAAATTGTATTGCCGCCAGCAGCAACATCACTGGAGGCGATTCCGATATTAAATACACAGTCACCAGCAAACAAAGAATCGCTATAAATCCACGCGCTGTGGCGCTAAATGCAGCGCGCACAACACGAAAGAAACGTCACGTGGTGGTGGTGAAAGCTGCTCTCTCTGGTGTGGACCAATCAATTACAAAGACAATGCCATCAAATATTAACAGAGCGTGTTTTTGTTTGCATCTTGCAGAGACTTGACGATGCCTTGCTATGGGTATCTCTTGTGGTGTTTTAACATCTTAGGGGACGTCCATAAATGACGTCACGCGTTTTTAGACGATTTTTTACCCCCATCCCTCCCTTGTCACACGGCGTCACAAAAAGTCAGACCCCCCCTAAAATATGACGTCACAAAGCTCTGCCCCCCCCCAAACCATATTTCCATTTTGAAAATTAAACATGTTTCAAAGCACTTTAAACTATTGTCATTGTAATGCGTATTTAATGTGGCGCTGCACTCTGATCTTGTAGGAGAAAACATTTATTAAAGAGGAGGCGTTGGAAAGCTGAAATTTAGCATAAAATGCACTTGAAAATATTCAACGTCTAACTAAAACTGCAGATGTTCATAATATTATATTGAAATTATTTTATAATTGTAAAATATGAAAAGTAATTATAACTAAAAAATACTTGATACTTTGTAGTCAAACGAAGCAAAATGGCGAGTACAATTATAACAATCACATTCATTCCACAAAATGAAAAGCCCTGGGAGAATTATTATAATCCAAATGTTTAATAACAATCATTCAAATAATTTACAAAAAGGATGCTTCACCATTATCCCATGCAGAAGCAAAATGCTCCTTCATGGAATACATAAAAGGTGACCTTAGTAAATTTAAATAATCAAATAGTTAATAATGAAAATTTATCAAAATTTGTGTTGTTATAACAATTCTATTTAATTAAGTAGAACGTGTTGTTTATATTTATTTAAAGTTGCGTCACACATCGTCACAAATGAATGACCCCCCCCCCCCCTTGGGTGCGTGACGTCATTTATGGACGGCCCCTGAACACAACTCCTGTTTTATTTCCAGAAAGGATAAAAGCTATTATTTCCTACTCTTAGTTCTTTCGGTAAAGTCACGTCGGTAAAAAATATAATTAAAATTAATAAAAATAAAATAAAAATCACCCGGTCGGCTGGAGAGCGACCGACCGGGTGATTTTTATTTTATTTTTTTAATTTAAATTTAATTTTTTACCTACGTGACTTTACCGAAAGAACTAAGAGTATGAATCCTTGCAGTCACGAAAGCTTCAAATCTAGAACTATTATTTCCAGCTATTCTTTCCAGAAAGGGTTAAAGCTATTCTCACACATCTTACCAGGTAAAGCTCACTGAGCCATTATTTTAGTTTCTCATCACATTCGTCAAGGGCAATTGCATTGCCCTTCCACCACCTCGAGCCCCGCCCCTGATGCTCAAGCTCCTCCCCCGCCTCCTGCTCCCAAGTCCAGCAAACTCCGCCCACTCGCTGTCTATCCCCGCAGCCTCCTGTTTAAGCTCCTCCCTTTTCGAATCCCTGCTTCTGAGTCCGGGAAACCCCGCCCCTCCCACTCTATCCCCGCCCCCTCAGCACCGACCCCGCTTTTGAAGCTCCGCCCCCGTAGCTCCCTGCTTCTGAGCCCGGGAAACCCCGCCCATCAGCCCCTTTATCTCCGCCCCCTTTTTTAAGCTCCGCCCCCGTAGCTCCCTGCTTCTGAGCCCGGGAAACCCCGCCCATCAGCCTCTTTATCTCCGCCCCCTTTTTTAAGCTCCGCCCCCGTAGCTCCCTGCTTTTGAGCCCGGGAAACCCCGCCCATCAGCCCCTTTATCTCCGCCCCCTTTTTTTAGATCCGCCCCCGTAGCTCCCTGCTTCTGAGCCCGGGAAACCCCGCCCCTCGCTCTCTCTCTCCAGCATCATGGCGCCCAAGCCGCGCAAAGAAGGTTCGTGCTCCCGTTTCCCCCCCTCTCTCCCGCGTCTCCATCGCTCTCTTCACCCTCTCGGAGTTTCCCCGCCGATGTCTGCGCGCCGGAGTTCGCGATGAAGCCGCTCAGTCCCGCGAGGGCAATGAAGTCTCGGCGCGTGGGGTCGTTTGAAGCGCCTAGGCGAGCGGCAGGCTCGGCAATGTGCGAGTAGGCCCTCGGCCCTTCGTCAACTTTGTCTCTAAACTCCCAGCGAGGGGAGATTAAACTTTGTAAAGTTACAATAAAGCGTTAGCGTCGACCAAGGTCCAAGTCGCTTGTAATGTAACGTGCGTGCGTCTCGAGTAACGTTTAGTGTTGTGCAGCGTGCCTGTGACGGCACTGATGTTAAGGCCTTTAGAGAGAGGCTTCACCAATCGACTTTAAACGTTTTTAAAACTTATTTATTTTACCAGGGAGTAAGGGAGTCTCGGTGGCTCTTGGCCTGGCCCATCACAAACGATAGTTAAACAAAGTGGCCGATGTTGTCGTGTGGGCACATCTAGCGGCAGCACCAGCGGTGCTGGCGGTGAGGGGGAGGATGGAGGCCTTGATCCAGCAGTGGCTCGTCCATGGTGATGGTGATTACACCTATAGACAGAGAGGACCACGTGGATTAGAGCACACGCAGGGTATAGACACCACATTGGTCTTCATCCAGCAGTAAATAGACCATGGTGATGATGGCGAGACAACAACACGTGGGTTAGAGAACAGTATGCAGTATATGCTGTATACACGCGTACTCCACTGCTGGATGAAAGCCCTCTGCTGCACTCAGCGGATGCTATCGCGGTGGCTGAGATGTTCTCCCTCGCCTGGTACGCAGGAGGTCGTGGGTTCGATCCTGACGATGTCCGTGGCTGTATATTTGGAGTGCGTCTCTCTCCCCGTTATGGTCACCACGTGGATTTTTCTCCGGGTCCTCCGGTTTTTCGTTCCACATTTCAGAATCAAAATGTTTATTCATACTGGAGCAATCCGAAGAGCTGTGAAGCTCTTTTAAGAGTATTTGGCCGCTATAAATTTGCCCGCGATGATAGCAGCCACTTAGTTGAGCTATCATTTGTGGTAGCCAGGTTCGCCGCTGAAACAGAGCTACATAGCTCAGTGGGGCCTTACACCTTGTACAATAAAAAATAGTTTAGTTTTAGTATGGATCTTATGGGTATCTGTGTCTGTATGGGTCTGTGGGTATTATGGGTTTTTGTGGATCTCAGTTTGTATGGGACTCTGTTGGTCTCTGAGTCTGTTTAAGTCTGAATTGCATCGGTTTCTATGGGTCTCTGTATGGGTTTCTATGTATCTTTATGGGTCTGAGTCTATACATTTTTACACGATGATATCAGCCACTTTGTTGAGCTATCATTTGTGATAGCCAGTGTCGCTTTACAACCGGTAAATTAATAATAGTTTAGTTTTTGTATGGATCTCCACGAGTCTTTATGGGTTTGTGGGTTTCTGTTGGTCTCTTGAGTCTATCGGTCTCTATGAACTGCATGGGTTTCTTTCGGTCTCTATGGGTCTCAGTCTCAACGGGTCTCTGAATCTCTGGGTTTATGTGAGTCTTTATAGGTCTCTGAGTCTATAGACTAGTGCGGTTTTTGGCTGCTATAAATCTCCGTGTGATACCGGCCAATTGGTTGAGCTGCTGTCATTTGATGGCCAGGTCCCTTCTAAATAAGAGCTACAGAGCAGCTTAGGTGGGGCCTTACTCCTGGTAAAATAAAATTTGTGTAGTTTCACCATACTTCACCGCGCTCATGTCTACTGGCCACCGCGAGGGGGTTTCGGCACACAAGTGTAGTGTAGTACGTAGAGTGTAGTGTATAGCGTATGTGTAGTGGATCATATTGTTCAGTAGTGTGTGTACTGTAGTGTGTAGTAGTTTAGAGTGTATTGTGTACCTGTAGTGTAGAGTGTAATATGTATGTTGAACTTCTGGCAACATAGCCAACCGTGCTAATCGGAGGTAGTGTGTAGTAGTGTATACTAGTGTGTGGTGTATAGTAGTGTGCGGTATGTAGTGTATAGTAGTGTAGTGTATATTGCATCTAAAAGCAGCGTGCAATTTGGGTGACCATGTTTCTTCGACGGTTCGCCAGGCCCACCATCACTGCTGTGAGCAAGAGGTCGCAAACAGGTTTTGATTCCTTACCCGTACCCGGCTGCACCAGGGTCGCAAACGGGTATCCGTACCCGGCCGGGTATCGGGTAGGGTACGGGTACCTGATTGCGACCTCGGGGATGAAGCCATGTTGCAGGCGCGGGTGGGTTGTTTCTAGGAACTTGAATTGTGAGAAGAGACAAGACGTTAGGAAATGAGTGACAAATGGTTACTCATCAGTAACTCGCGGTGTACCCGTACCCGGCCGCACCAGGGTCGCAAACGGGTACCCGACCGGGTAGCCTGGTATCGGGTACGGGTAGCCGGGTATCGGGTAGGGTACGGGTAGCCAGGTATCGGGTACCCGATTGCGACCTCTGCTGTGAGCACGACGCGGAGTTTCTCCTAACGACTGTTTACGCCCTATCCCCCCTCCTTCCCACACTCCTCACCCCCCTCGCCACGACAGCAGCGGCCGCAGCTCCGGCCAAGCCCGAGGGGGTCAAGCCCGAGGGGGCCAAAGGCAAGGGCGGCAAGGGCCGTCCCGAGGGCGGCAAGGGGCGTCCCGAGGGCGGCAAGACCCGCGAGGGTGGCAAGGCCCGTGCCGAGGGCGCCAAGGCCCGCGGGGCCGAGGGCGCTAAGGCCCGCGGGGCCGAGGCGCGGCCCAAGGGTGAGGCGAGGGCCAAGGCGCTGAAGGCCAAGAAGGCCGTGCTGCGCGGGGTGCACGCGGTGCGTCGCCGCAAGGTGCACACCTCCCCCACGTTCCGCAGGCCTCACACTCTGCGGCTGCGGCGGCAGCCCAAGTACCCGCGCAAGAGCGCGCCCACGCGCAACAAGTGAGGGGCACAGCACACTGGCGTACACGCACGCCAGTATCACATACACTGGCGTACAACCGCCAGCATCATATGCACACGCTGACATCGTGTATACATCATACGCACATATACTAGCATCATACTTGCAGACACTCAACAGCATCGTACACACACAGACTAGTCGTACTCGCACAGACACGCCAGCATCACGCACTCGCGGCACACCCTAGCGTCGTACACACATGCTAGCGTCGTACACACATGCTAGCGTCGTACTCCGTGCATACACACGCTACAAGTGACAGGCACCGCACACGCGCCAGCATCATGCACACGCTAGCCTCGTACACGCGCGCGAGTGTCGTGCACGTGTCATACAAACACACTGTGCGTGCCATGCATAAACCGTGCACACACGCAACAAGTGAGTGGCTGCCTCACAAGTACACACACACCACTTGTGTTTGTGCGTACTCGTGTGTGTGTGTGTGTACTCATGTGTGTGCGTTTGTGCTCGTGCAGGATGGACCACTACGCTATCATCAAATTCCCGTTGACGACGGAGGCAGCGATGAAGAAGATTGAGGACAACAACACGCTGGTGTTTATCACAGACGTGCGTGCCAACAAGCACCAGATCAAGCTGGCGGTGAAGAAGCTCTACAACATCGGGGTTATGAAGGTCAACACGCTGATCCGGTAAACCGTCACACGCGCACGGTCACACCTCGAGCCTTAGCCAGTGTCTTAGCCAGTGTCTTAGCCAGGGCCTTTGCCAGGGCCTTAGCCACATCATTAGCCACATCCTTAGCCACAATCTCCTGGGTTCACGAGTGGAATCATAACATATCGTTTGTCTCTGTCCGTGTGTCTGTCTCCCCGCAGTCCTGACGGGGAGAAAAAGGCCTACGTGAGGCTTACGCCCGACTTCGACGCGTTGGATGTTGCCAACAAAGTAAGCCCAACGCCGGGTGGGCGGGGGGCGGTCACCCTCATCTGGGTGTTTGTGTGGGTGTGTCTGGGTGGGTGTGTCTGTGCCGCTGTGATTGTGTCTGTGTGTCCATGTGTGCGTATCCGTCTGTGTCCGTGTGTGTGGTTGTCTGGGTGTGTCGGTGTCTTCCGTGTTGGTCTCCGTTTGTGTATGTGTGTGTTGGTGTGTGGTAAACATAGCCACTGGAGAGACAAAGGTGGCTGGGCATGGTGCTGGTCACCTACCCCCTCTGTGTGCCACAGTGCCGGCTTTCGCAGGCACTGCTGCTACTCGCTACTAACTACAGCACTTGCCCCTCCACCGTTGGAGGCTATAGATGGGGGATCTTTGTATGTACATGTGTATAGGCGTGGCTCACCGCTGCCCTGAGAGGTGGAGGGGAATGAGATGAACCTCTGGATCGGTGGCAGTGCGTTCTCTGTTGCGTGATGCAAACCTGACAGCTCTGAATCGTCTAGTGTGGCAACTCAAAGGAACCGCTGATGACAGACGACGCACGCTAGAGACAAAGCTCCCCCCGTGTGTAACCTCGGGGGGCTGTTCAGGAGCAAGGGCTGACTAGTGGTGGTGGCGGCGGCGACGTGGGCACGGATAACTCTCTCCCTCCCCCTCTCTTTCCTCTCGCTCCCTTGCTCTCTCCCGTATCACAGATCGGCATCATCTAAAGTGGGAGGCCTCTTCAATAAACGTATCTTCAGTTGGAACCCCTCAGCCTCTCTCTCCTTGTGTGCGACTGTTGAGTGATTGGTGAGTGTGGTGAGTGCATGGTAACTGTGTGGTGAGTGTGTGTGGTAGTTGTGGTAGGTGCCGCGGTGGCGGGATGTTAACTACCTCGCCTGGTATGCAGGAGGTCGTGGGTTTGATCTCGACCCTGACAATGCCTGCTTGCTGCTGTATATTTGGAGTTGCGTCTCTCTCTCGCCTTGGTCACGTGGATTTTTCTCTGGGTCCTCCGGTTTTTCCCCTCCACATTGAGAATCGACGTCACCACGCGTTATAAATTCCCACGCGATTATTCTATCAGTCACTTGGTTGAGCTGCTATCATGTTGTGGTGGCCAGGTCGCTTCTGAAAGAACTAGGTAGCAGCTCAGTTGGGGCTTTACACCTGGTAACATGCTTGGCGCTACGCTGCGCAACAAACCCCGCAGACTTGAATTCGACTCCCGCTCACGGCCACCACCGCCGGTAGCGACGATTATCTGAACCGGCCGAGCCTCCCCTAGGTCGACTCAGCCTTAAGTGAGTTACCTGGGGCAGCGGTGGTGATAGTGTAGTAAACATCGCCTGGTGTTGGACACCCATGTCCTCTGTGTGCCCCCAGTGCCGGCCTTCATAGACGCTGCTACTCAGTACTAACTATAGCACTTGCCCCTACAGCCTGTTACAGGCTACACGGGGGATCTTTGTTGTGCCACTACCAACTTTACCGTCACCGCTCCCAGCAGCCATCCTCACCACTACCACTGTCACCATCACCACTACCACCATAAACCACTACCACTGTCAACCATTGCCACCACCAAGCTCACTTAGACAAAGATCCCCCGTATAGCCTTAACAGACTGAAGGGACAGGTGCTGTTAGCGAGTAGCGCCTATGAGGTCTAGCACGGCACATGACTGCCTTTGTCTCCCCCCAGTGGCGATGTTTACGACACACCGCACCAGGTGCTCATTTGAGGCCGAGTCGACCTAGGGGAGGCCCAGGACCAGTTCAGATTATTGTCATTGGTGTTGGCCGTGAGCGGAAATCAAACTCGGGCCTCTACCGGGTTCGTAGCGCTGACCACTACCGCACCCCACACCACCAACCTCACCAAGACAAAGATCACGGCTACCACCAGCATACTCGCCACTCACCACCAACCTCACCAAGACAAAGATCACGGCTACCACCAGCATACCACAATTACCACACCACCAACCTTGCCAAGATGAAGATCACCGCAACCACCAGCATACCACAATTACACCACCACCAACCTCTCCAAGACAAAGATCACCGCTACCACCAACAGACTCGCCACACCACCACCAACCTCACCAAGACAAAGATCACCACAACCACCAACATCCCACAATTACACCACCACCAACCTCGCCAAGACAAAGATCACCGCTACCACCAGCAGACTCACTACACCACCATCACCAAGACAGATCGTGGCTACCATCGGCATACCACACAAACCACACCACCACCTTGAGTTTGATCGACCTGGAGCTCTCTAGAGAGAGGGCACCGGGGCCCCACGGACGTGGGTTGCCAGGAGGCCCCCCGGGGTCCACGTTCGCCATGACCTGGGCCCCCCCCTCCTATCCCCCGCACTGAGACGTCGCTCGAACTCTGCACGGACATCGAGCCGCGCTTGGACGGTCGCCGGTCGTCCACTCTGCAACATTGATGATGATGAGTGGTAATCATGAAGGGTGGTGAAGATGATAATGCAATAATGGTTGGTGATGATGGTTGATGGGTGGTGATTATGATGGTGGTGTTGATAGGTGGTTGATTGGTGTTAATGGTGATGATTATGGGTGTTGATGCTTATTATGGGTGGTGATGGTGGTTATGATGGTTGGGTGATGGGTGATGGTTTATGATGGTGATGGGTGGTGGTAATGATGATGAGTAATGGGTGGTGGGTATGATGGGCGGGTGGTGGTGATGATTATTGGTGGTGGTGATGATTCGTGCTGGTGATAATTACACTATGTAACACAATTTTTGTTCTTGAGTAGTAAGTGTTATTTCGTAATTGCTTATGCCTAAAAAGTATAGAAAATCTTAATCAAAATTGACATGTATTTATACTAAAGTAATACAAAAATTACTACAAAAGATTTAGAAGTGAGTAGTTTTAGATTTATGATTATACTGTAAATCACTTTCACGAATCAGCCCCCAAATGTCTCCCATCATGTTCACGTTATACTGTCCTTGGTAGCGGCGTTCAAAGTCCAATATATCCTGGTGGAAGCACTCGCCTTGCTCCAAGTACGCTCCCATGTTCTTGAATTTATCAAGATGAGCATCAAGGATATGGACTTTGAGGGACATCCAGCCCATTGTGCCGTAGTTCTTCACCAGATTCTCAACCAGCTCCACATAGTTTTCGACCTTGTGATTGCCCAGGAAACCCCGAACCACTGCGACAAAGCTGTTCCAAGCCGCTTTCTCCTTACTAGTAATCTTTTTGGGGAATTCATTGCACTCCAGGATCTTCTTTATCTGTGGTTCGACGAAGACACCAGCTTTAACCTTTGTCTCAGACAGCTTAGGGAAGAAGTCTTGAAGGGACTTGAAGTCTGCTGATGCCTTATCTACAGCTCTGACAAATTGTTTCATAAGGTCAAATTTTATGTGCAGTGGTGGTATCGGCACCTTCTGGGGTCCACCAGTTGCTCCCACTTGACGTTCCTCCCCACAGAGAACTCGGTCCGCTGTGGCCAGTCCCACCTGTGGTAGTTCGCCTTGCTGTCCCAAAGGCAAGGATCCAGCAAGGTCTTGATGCTGTTGTAATCCTCTTTGAGGTGCACCGAGTGAGCCAGGGGAAGAGACGGGTACTTGTTACCATTATGGAGCAGCACGGCTTTGAGGCTCCTGGATGAGCTGTCAATTGAGAAGCGCCACTCATTCTAGTTACAGGCGATTCCAATTGCCTCCAACAGACTGGTTACATTGTGGCAGAAGCAGAGCCCGGCTTGTCGGGTGAAGAAGCTGCAAAAAGGTTGATGACGCTTCCTCTGATCTGCAACTTGCACACTTTCATCCAACAAGTTCCACTGCTTGAGACTAGACATCAAAAGTCGTTGAGGTCTTTTTGGTTGGGGTAGTATGGGTTTCTCTCCTTAGCTCCACCTTTGAAATTGTCATCTGGACCTACAACATCTTCCTTGCTCTCTGACTTGCTGCTCTTCTAAAGATGGTTGCTCTCTCTCCGGCGGAGTGGGTACTGGGAGCTCATGGCAGTGTGGCACCGGGGCGTGATAGCATTTGCATTCTTGCCAGTCCGACGTTTGGAAGGGTCCACCATGCAGAAGTAGCAGTTGCTTGAGTGGTCAGTGGGTTCCCGCCAAATGCTTGGGATTGCGAACTCCATGGCTCTCTTTTCCCCTCTGTACCATTCTACAAAAATACATTTATTTCACCCATTACTAATGTGTAAGAGATTCTCGCAACATTTTTCATATATGATATATATTTTCAATAACATTCAAAATTGTAAAACATTTTGAAATGTAACACTTTTACAATTTAAATGTTTTAACAAATGTTATAAAATAAAATTCCAAGCAACAATTGTCCATGTTACTTTCCAGAGTTGTTTTGCATTGCTCGCAGGTGAAATGAGGTGCCCATAGTTTGTCTTGATTCCCGACAAGCATGCTGAAATATGCCTTGTAGGCCTCACACATCTTAGCAGATGCTTCCACAGAGTACTTTTTTGCTCTTGTCTTGATAAATTGGCCGCAAACATAGCAAAATGCGTCTGCCGGATGCTTGCAGCCTCTTGATGCCATCTCAGAAAAATGCACATGTGTAATAAATCCGCTCTGGACGATTGTCTTTTCTTTATTCGTTCTTCATTACACAGCTCCCTCACACGCTGGGTTCCTTTTTCCCTGTTGCTCCCGTTCCTTGAGCGTGGCGTTCGCTCGCTTTCTCGCTCCCTCACACTGCTGGCTGACGGCATGTGGGAGACAGTTTCCGGTCTGCCACGTGGCCGCTGGCGTGCCGGAGGCACAGACGTGGTCTCTCTTCAGCCCCTCTCTACACTGACCTCGAGCTGTCTCTCTCCACCCCTTATAACCCCTGGCCCACGTGATACCACGCAGCCAATCCTCAGCCTCACCCCTGGAACCTTCCAGATGTTGCTATGCAGCCACAGAGCTGCAGCCACAGAGCTACGTCCCTGGCTCGACGTCCCAATGGCTGCGGGCTGAGGCCAGCAGAGCCGATCACATATTACTATATTTTGCCACTGGTACAGGAGGTCTCATAGTGTAAATGCTTACCCCGAGCTATCAATACTCTAGATCAGGGGTCCTCAAACTACGGCCCGCGGGCCACATGCGGCCCACCGAGGCCATTTATCTGGCCCATGGTCACTAATTGGGCTGCGCTTGTGAGCACTAATTGGGCTGCGCTGGTGAGCACTCATTGGGCTGCGGTGGTGAGCACTAATTTGGCTGCGCTGGTGAGCACTAATTGGGCTGCGCTGGTGAGCACTAATTGGGCTGCGCTGGTGAGCACTCATTGGGCTGCGGTGGTGAGCACTAATTTGGCTGCGCTGGTGAGCACTAATTGGGCTGCGCTGGTGAGCACTCATTGGGCTGCGGTGTTGGGCACTGATTGGGCTGCGGTGTTGGGCACTGATTGGGCTGCGGTGGCGAGCACTGATTTGGCTGCGCTGGTGAGCACTGATTGAGCTGCGGCGGTGGGCAATGATTGAGCTGCGGCGGTGGGCACTCATTGGGCTGCGCTGGTGAATGGTTCAATGGGCCAATTGACTGGACTTGCCCCCAGGCCTAAGGCTGCCAGCCCTTCCCTGGCTGCGCTTGACTGGCTCTCCCTCCCTCAGCTCTCTCACTTGCCCCTCGGCTCCACTCCCAGTGATATTCCTGTGTGCTGAGTAAATGATAGAGGGGTAATAACAGAGTGATCTCTGATCTCTGGAGGGGCTGCCTGCTGTTTTCCCG